TTTATTTTATATAGGTATTCATCCTTGCATCAATAAAACAAAATTTGTATTTTATTTTGCTCATTTTGTATTTTCAATATCACTTTGTATACTAGATAATATTTATTTAGATTTTGATTTTGTATTCATTTTCAATTCTAAATAACCAAAATACAATTTATTTACGTATTCATTATATACGTATTCGTACTATTATTAGTAAATAGATTTGTATTTTATTTGGCTCATTTTGTATTTTCAATATCACTCGCAATTTATATTTCAATTACATTTTAAAATAATGACACACAAAATCATATTTAAAGAAGTCCATCTGAATTCATTTCAGATAAAATCATATTTAAAAAAGTTCAAACAAGTAAGGATAAAAAACTAAGGGAAATATTTTACCTTTTTGAAATATTTTTTCTCCCATGATTCTCTCCATTCTGTTATTAAATATTAAAAATTTGTATTCTTTCAAATTAAATAAATTAAATAAATACAATCAGCATTATAACAAACCAAAATATTGACATTTTCAATAAATATTGAAAGTGCTGACAAGGGGTCATATTAGATGCTAAATTATTGTTGTTTAGAAAATTTTCCCTTTTTTGTGTATATATAGTAGATGTCGAGCCCCTTCAATTAGTTCGTGGTTTACTTCTTCAGATTTTGAACCCCCTTGTTAAAAATCCTAGCTCTGCCACTGAGTATAAGGATCAAATTATCTTATTTTGCTAAATATTGGAATATAGAATTTTTTTTAAAAAAGAAATAAATTATAAATGTTAAAAATTACTAAGACACAATTATTAAAAATGCATAATATTTAAAAAATCTATAAAAAGAATTATCGTCAAAGAAAAAATCGCATCACAAAGATTGAATGAAAGGGAGTATGCCACATTAACAATCTATTTTTATCCTCTAATTTCATAACAAATAAAAATCACATAAATATGAAGTATACTATTTAGTATAGTTTGAAACAGAATTAACTTAGTATTTGATTTATTCTTTTACACAATTCGACATACTTAATGTCAAAAACAAATTATTCAGAACATTATATTATTCAAAGTATTATATTATATTATTATATATGAAATAGAGTGCTCTTTTACTCGACTTCCTCTTTGCTCAAGAGAAAGGACAAGTTGGCAAACAATTAATGGAGTAGAAAATAGAAATATTGAAGAAAAAAAAGTAGAAGGAAAATAGGAATTATTTGACTTTACGATATCTCAATACATTGCATAAGAGTGATGTATTCAAAAATAGGAGAGGAGTAAGAATAATAGATTTTTTAAAATAATTTTTTCAAATGATAAGAAATTTTAACGAATATGATAAAATAAGTTGAGTGTTTTGATATTTTTTTCTAAATATATCAATAATATGTAAATTTAGAGCATCCATAGAAAAAATGTCCATAAAGTGGACATCATTAGAAATAGACATATTTTATTATAATCACCATATACTACTATATATCTCCCCACCCCTAACCACAACTAGAGATGGACATGGTACATTTATCATATCGGAATTAAAAATTTTAATACTGCGATTTGAATATTATGATATTTGATATGCATTTTTAAAAAGTTTGAAAAAGCGTATGTTGACCTTATTAGTTATTAGTACTTTTTTGAGATAGAAAATTTGTTTTTGAAAAGACCCCGTTGAGGGGAGAAAAATTGTTTTAGAAAAGACCCCGTCGAGGGCAACTATTGTTGCTATATAATCCCTTAAGGGTCGTTTACTAGCTAGATAAGATTCAAGTTATTCATATATTATTTTTTATATACTTTATACGGTGTTTGGTAAGTAAATAGAAAATAAATTATTCACGTATAAAATTAATTAGATGTTTTGAACTTGCATAACTAATACATGTATAAGTTACGAGTGAATCTATGCATTATTTTATGGAGGACACTACATCAAAAATGATCTTTAGCGGCAATTAATTAACGACAATAGCTTAATTGCCACTAAATATGTACTTTTAACGGCAATTAACACTCTTTATATATGTCCCTAAAGACTTTAGCGTAATTGGATCTAATGACAATTAATTAATGCCGGTAAAGGCTTTAATGCTCTTTGTTAATGTGTATATTTGTTGCTGCTAAAAAGTGTTTTTGTTGTAGATAGAAGGTGGAATAACTAATGTCGGCATAAACTAATATATAGATTCACTCATAACTAATCTTTATATTATTAATACTCGCATAACTCTAACTAGCTACTAAACGACCCCTTATTAGAGAGAGAGAAAGAAAGAGAGAGAGAGATTAACAATCAAAGATTTTTTTGCTTAGAATTGATTTTTGGGCAGATATACAAGTAATTACATGATTATTTTCAATATAAATCATGGTTGAAACATGTTCATTATTTGAACTTAAAGAGTTTTATAATTTATTTTATACAATGACATAGTCAGAATTTTTATTAAGAAAATTAAAAATATAAAGAAAAAAATATATGAACAAGTTAAAATTCAACACCTACTACATATACCATATAATTTATTGAGAAACTATTCCTCAAAAGGTACTTTTCATAAAAGGAGACACATAAATTTATGTAATTAATTATAAATGATGACTGCATATTTACTAGGTTTTTATTATTAATAAAATTCTATTTTAAGATTCAAAATTGACAATCAATAAAGAGAGGTGAAATTGGATTGTACTTTGGTGTGACATGTGGGCCAACTAAATGGGCTTTATTGGACCCACAAATAGCAGGCTTTAATTGGTCTGTCAGCTTGGAACGCGGGCTGCGGGCCCAATGAATGAGGCCCAGAATTGATTAGTTGGACCTCTAACTCAAGTAGCAACAATAAAGTAAGGGAGTTGCACATTTGACCGTTCGATAAAAATATTTTGTATCATATCATTTAAATTCATTGTCAAGGGATAACAAAAAGACTCATTTTGTGTAACGATTGATTTGATGTGATGGTATCGTTACCTTAATATTTTCTTCTCATTTTGTCTTTACTTATTATTTAATAATTCCATTTTATTACTTACCCTACCTTTTCATTCATCAAATTATGAATGTGTGAAGTTATATAACGACAGAGATCAATACAATCTATCCAAACATTGTATTAATTAGAAAACAATATAGTATAATACAATACACTTCGAAAAAGGATAGTCTTGTATGTAAGTACAATAATGAAACAAGGCAAACCCTCAAATGACCTATCTTAGATTAGAGGGATCCTTACTAGTGGTGACCTTTCCACTCTTCCACCGACTGATACATATACCATGTGCTTGTCGACTCACGCCTAATGTACATATATTTATATTATCTATTGTCGTCTATCTTTAAGTGAACGACTATTTATATCAATTTCTCAATAAAAAAAAAGTGTCAACACAAAAAGTCATATTTTCAGAGTGTCGGGTGTGACATTTAGGATTTTATCACTAAATTTGTTGTACAATTAAAAGTATGTGTTCATATTTAATAATTTTGAAGTTATTGTAAGTTTTCACATAAAAACATATACTACACATTGAAAATATTGATAAAAAAATCAAAATTTTCCAACATTCCTATAATGTATTTATATCGTAAACGTGTTCATATGCAAACATGCCCTAGCTTGTGAAAAAAAGTGTCGGCTCAATAGATATTGTCCTATCTTTGTGTAAACTCTACCAAACATGAGACATGACATGTTTGTGTGGGAGTAGTATCGGAGTCAGAATTTTTATTAAAGATGATGAAATATAAAAAAGTAAACACGTAAAGGATTCAAAGAAATCAACATCTGTTATATATATATCTAAAAAATAATTTAATCATTTATAAACGACGAAATTTTCTATATGAACCTCTTAGCTCTACCTTGCTCTGTCCCTGACTAGAATAGTCAAGTAATTTAGTGACGTGATTATACTTCTATGATAATTTTATACATGCAATTTTTTTTATAGTCAGTTGTAATTTAAAATTTGTTTTGAAGAAAGAATATTTGTTGAATTGTGGTCACAACTTCTATAAAAGCTTAAATTATTAGACAAAACATATGTCAATATATTATATATCTTTAACATGCCCTTCACGTAGTTAACACACTTTGGTTTCGGATTTGGAAAAACCCACTAAACAAACTTTAAAGAAATAGATTTTCGAACTCATAAACATCAAATTATATATCCGCTTTTAACCTCATATGCGTGCTTGATTATGTTTTATGAGCCAAATATATATGTGGGGATTCATTTTTATTCGTTTCAATTTTATTCATTAAAAGAAATAAAATTCTAATATAATAATTATTAGTTGAATCATCGAATTAAATTAGATTATATCTTTAGAGAAAAGAGGCTACATAGAAACTCAATTCCTATTTCACTTCTCAAATTTTTTGGTGCTTCATTCAACATTGGACTATTAATAACAACTAACAAAACTCATATTAATAAGTAGGTCCATTCCCATATTGGACAATGACATTGTAAAGCAACATATATTAAAATAATTTTGAAAAATAATTCAACAGTCAAATTTTGTATATTCCTTTTTATTTGCCTGAGTTGGACTTAAATTTTAATTTCTTTCTTTTGGTTAAAAAAAACTCGCATTTAAATTTCTTTTCAATAGTGTCTCGTTCAACTTGCACATACGACTAATTTATTTGATATTTATTATCTTTCATCAATATACATATACTAAGTAATTTTGATTATCAAAAGACATAAATATATGGGATTAATTCTTTTCTAAATAGATGTGAAGAAATACCTATTTTTATTTTTGTTTCTAGCTTTTTGCTGAAATTTGAACTTCGATTTTCATATTTTTACCTTCTTCTAACCACTAAAGAATATATTGTTTTTTTTCGAAAAGACAAAAGGAAATCACCTACCAACTCGATTAAAACTTTAGGTTCCAAAATAAGACTTGAAAATTAAACAAATTCAATTCAATTCCTCTTGACCAAAATTAAGTCCAAAAATGTAATGCCGCCCATGTGTTTTATTCAACATAGAATTCTAAATTCCAAATAGAAAATTGAACATTTTTTTAAAAAAAATTTCAACCTATATATATGCCAATTCTTTTTTAGCCAATTAACCATAATTGCATACAATATCAGCATAAATCATTAGTTTCTATTTAGCCACTAATTAAACTTTTAGTTCTAGTAGACCAATATTTGATTATTCATAATCATTATGGGTGTTACAACTTTTACTGAAGAAATTACTTCCCCTATAACACCAATTCGTTTATTTAAGGCTTTAATTGTGGATTCAAAATCCTTAATACCAAAATTATTGCCTCAATTTGTTGAAAATGTTGTTTTATTACAAGGAGATGGTGGAGCTGGAAGTATTGAACAAGTAAACTTCACAAAAGGTTAGTGAATATCATCTTTTATTTTTATTTTTTGGTTTTCCTACGAGTACCGTTTCTATACTGAGACTCAATTAATTTGGATTCATGTTGTATAAGGTATATTGAAGAGAGAGCCTCTTTCTATCATGATTCTTTTTCATATCCTGAATTCGAATCAATATTAATTTTTTTGATATATTTTAATTTCTTCTATAACTTCACTAGGAACTTTGGTTCAAGATTTTTGGGCATATATATGTCAATTTTTTTTTGACAATCAAACACCTCATGAAAAATGAATTCCGTTCATAAGTAAGGGAAGTTATTTTCTTCCTTAGATGAACGTTATTAATTAATGTTTTTCTTGAAAAACAATGTCAGGCAATGAACACCGAAAAATGACTTTCTCATGAGAATTTTTTCTTTTAAAAAATGACTTTTGTCGTACCAAACAGGTAAACAACCCCTCAAATGAACCTCAAGGAAAATTAATTATACCACACTTTCCCCATAATCTATTATCAAATGGTTATATATATGTAATACTTTAATTTCCATAATGATTTATTTTGGTTTAATTTTCCTAATTTTACAACGATAGAGGTAAAACTGCATACACACTATCCTCCTGAAATTCAACAAGTATATTGTTGTTGACCTTTTTTTGGTTTAATTTGCAGGTAATCCTTTTGAGTTTGTGAAACATAGAATAGATGAACTAGATAAAGAAAATATGGTGTGCAAATACACAATGATTGAAGGGGATCCATTGGGACAAAATCTTGATTTTATTTCTCATGAAATAAAAATTGAAGAATCCAAAATTAATATTGGAGGATGCATTTGCAAAATGACAACAAATTATCATGGAATTGGTGATTTTTTTGCCAAAGAAGAAGATATTAAAGATGGAAAAGATAGTGCTATGGGAATTTATAAAACTGTTGAAACCTACCTAATTCAAAATCCAAATCTTTATACTTAGTTAATAAATTAATTAAAATGAAGCCTATATGGTTTGGTTCTTTTTTTTTTTAATAAATATTTTTGTTGTTGTTATTGAAGATCTGTAGCATTTCAACCATGCTATAAAAAAATTTGTATTCAATTGATGTAAGTTAAATGTTTTCGTTGGGCTAAATTTAGTTCAATACGCTCTTTAATAAAGTATAATTCTGTCTGATTTGAGCCAAGCTCGTGTGACTTTTTCCTAAAGGATTTTCTACATTTGATATGTAGTTTTCTTTTTAATTATTGGTCTGAGATTTTATTTGAATATTCAATAATCTTTCCGTTCGAACTAAATTCCACAAAGTTCATCACCAAGATTCATAGGTTAATATATAGATTCATTATTTGTCATCCATATAATGTTTTGGTATTTAATTATGGCCATCGAAGTCCACATGCAAGTTTTTGACGTGTCTCTAAACTTTAGGTAAAGGCAGATATGCAGTAAATTGGGCCTCACACATCATTATCGTCATGTTCATATTCATCTCGTTGAATCATCACTTCTAACAAGATTTTCAATAAAATATGTGATACTATTAAAAATATATATTAATTCCTACAAGTCATATGTTGATTTTTTAAACTAACATTATTTTTCTATATATATAAAAAAAGAAGCAAAAAGCAAAAGATACCATCATTTTGTATGTTGCTGTGAATTAGATTCCTTCTTGGCTTCATACAAGTTAAGTTAATATTCCTTCAATCCGAACTTAATATAAATTAATTCATCATTAGAGAGGAATTAAGCATATGATTAATTTACAAAATAATGAAAATAGTAAAAATTTCACAATAATAATATAACTTGTTATTTCACAAAATAGTAGTCCTGAAAATAGATAAATATTACCACAATGATATATAATTAATAGTGCATAAAATTGATAAATACTTGAGTCGTGCTGGACACTGTCCTAAAAAACTATTTCAACGGTGTGAAATATTTCCCCAGGATTAAACAAGCACTTCCCTATCTTAAATAGAGGATACATGAATCAACAAATTAATTAACATCAACAAGTTATTAGGAAATATAAAATATATCAAAGCTAAATAATTAGCTAACGAGGAAAGGCAAGAGAGAGAGATATAGAACGCGAGGGAGAGTAAATTGTAAAAGAAGAATAATGTTTGTTAGGTATTTTCCACTTGTAATTCTTCAAAGAGAATTATATGCCAAAGAAGAGTCATCTTTTGGACTAGTGTCAAAGGATTTGACAAGTGTTTTAAAAGGTGGCAACAGAATGGTAAATATACCAAATACACTTCTTAAATGGCTTCACAAAAAAACTTTTAAAACTATCTTTTGAAATAATATTTTGCTTACAATCTTTCCAATCTCCTTTTTATATACTATATATATATAAATATAAATTAAAAAAGAAAAGGAAAAAAAGTAGTAATTAATTAGTATCAACCCCTTTGGAATCTAATCATGGAGTTATGTGGATATAATTATTTCTAATTGTTTTCTAGGGAATGTTATGTTTTTCGATATCCTAGGATTAATTATCAGCATGATTAACATACATTTTGAATACTTAAATCAAAATGAAAGAAAGTTTAAACTGATTTTATTTCGACAGAATTACTTATCTAGAATACTAAAAATCGATATTTTCTTTAAAAATTAAGAGATAATTTAGCACGTTATACATATTTTCTTATTATTGTTACTTTAAAGAAAGTTTAAACTGATTTTATTTCGACAGAATTACTTGTCTAGAATACTAAAAATCGATATTTTCTTTAAAAATTAAGAGATAATTTAGCACGTTATACATATTTTCTTATTATTGTTACTTTAAAGAAAGTTTAAACTGATTTTATTTCGACAGAATTACTTGTCTAGAATACTAAAAATCGATATTTTCTTTAAAAATTAAGAGATAATTTAGCACGTTATACATATTTTCTTATTATTGTTACTTTAGTTATTTTCAATCCACCCAATATTAGATTACTTATAATAATAATAATAAGACAAGTAAATATGAATGGGGGAGTATTTGCTAACTAACGCCTTACAAAAAGGCTTATCTTGATTGAAAGTTGAGGAACAAAGACCAATTTTCGCGTAATGTATTATTTTTTCCTTTTATTAATAGAGCCTGGTTATATTCTAAAAATTCTAAATTCACGTAAATAGAAACATTGATAGAGTAATCATGACTAAAAATAAGGGGGGAAAAACGAAAAGGGAACATAGTTTAGCATTTAAAATTGAAATATATAACATCACCATACATGTCCAAGTTCTAACTTCATCGACCATACATGCAAAAGGTGTTGACAAACTAAAAAAACAACAAAAAAAGCATATACTAATTCTGAATTCAGAGACGGATCTAGAGCGGGTTCTGCAGATCGAGTTGAGCCCATTACATATCAATACAATAAAACCACACACATATTTCTGAACTCACTGACTCTGATTCCTAAACTCGCTTATGCTTAGTAATAAGTCATAGCTTTTGGTTTTCTCTTGGAATAATCACAAATAAGAACTCCTCCATGTACCTTCATAGCTTCATAACTATTCATAACTCTTTCTTCACTTGGTTTGAATTGAACAACATGAGATTTTTGTGGTTGATACTGGTTATAATAAAAGTAATTTTGGTTTGTTGTTTTAACAACAACAGAGGAAGAAGGTGGAGGAGGAGGAGCTCGAGACCTATTTTTTCCTTTTGTTGCATAGAGTTGTTGTTCATCAAGAAGACCAAAAGATTCTTGGCCTATATTTGATATGTTTTTCTTGTTTGGTGCCATTGTATTTGAGATTTGGATGCAAATTTTTGTTGTGTAAAGAGTTTGGTATTTTGCTTGTTGGTTGTGTTTATTGTGAGGGCTAATGGATATGACTCCTATTTATAGGCATCAAAATGGAGGGGGGGGGGGGGGGGGAGGGAGTGC